TAAACTCACTCTGTCTGTGTCGTTGTTGTATCCTCAAATCTTGTAACTCAATTTTAACCCACTTCCCAATGTGGTATCGACAGCAAACTTGGTATACTTATGTCACACTGATGACAATGCTATATTCTATCATAACAAATAAAAAAATCTATATTTTTAAACATTCTATTTTATATTTTATGTTTCGGTTTGGGTCTAATTGTCCACGGTCAACTGACATTGGCTGTAATTGGCCACGGTCCTTACGTCATGGCAAGCTTCGGGGCCACTTCCTGGAGTCGTGTTGTTCTGCCATTACTAGTACATTTCATAAAAGCGTGTTTAAATTGTTTTTATATTACTTATTTTTCTGATGCCACGATGACATTCAAGCAACTTGTCACGTTGGGGTAATTACACGGAGATGGAGTTACAGGACATCATGAGATATCTACAACTACACCAACTATTTATTTAATTTTAGCAGGTAAGGCTCACTGAGCTGTGTAGCTATTTTCAGAAACGACCTGGCCACAAATGATGGCTTATCACGTGGAAATGTATTGCAGCCAACTACTCTAAACGCGTGATGTTGATTGTAAATGTGGAGGAAAAACCGGAGGGCCCGGAGAAAAATTCACGCGACCACGGAGAGAGAGACGCAAACTTTAAATATAAAGCAGGCGTCAGGATCGGGATCAAACCCACGACCTCCTGTATACCGGGCGAGGGAGATAACATCTTGCCACCAACTTGCTGTAGAAGGATGAGTTTATCTCTCGACACTCATCGCACGAATGAGCCACCGCAGCTGAGCCTCACCGATTTATATTAACAACAGCACTCATTTCTTTAAATGTCAAGGTGTGTACAGTAGCCGTGTTCACCTTGAGGCTGCTGTTTGCGCACCTCGGGGCGCGGGTTCACATTCCAGGCGGTGTCTCGTGATGTCAGTGACGACAATGAAAGCATTTCAAGTATTTTACTTCCTTCTTCACCGTCGCTATAAGAGAGAGGTCCTGGTCCAGCGTCTCTCTGAGCCACACAGCGAGCGATCCCAGCGAAGCCATGGGTCATGGCGAGCGCGACTCCCAGTGAGAGTGTGGATAGTGAGCTGCGCTGCTCCATCTGCCTGGGCACGTTCGTCTGCCCCTCCACGCTGAGCTGCGGACACTCGTTCTGCCTGCGGTGCCTGGAGGCCGCCTGGGAGACGGCGAGCAGCTTCAGCTGCCCGCAGTGCCGAGCGACCTTCCCTGTGCGACCCCAGCTGAGGAGGAACGTGGCCCTCGCCAACCTGGCGGAGCAGCTCAGAGTTGGAGACGGGATGGCCGCGGCCGTCGTGTGTGACACTGCGCTGATGGCCACACTCCTGCAGTGAAGACCTGCCTGAGATGTGAGATGTCCTTCTGTGCGACGCACTTGAGGCCTCACGTGGAGAATCCCAGGCTGAGTGATCACGTCCTGGTGGCTCCCATCGCGAACCTGGAGGAGCGAAGATGCAAGGAGCACAGAGAGGAGCTGAAGTACTTCTGTGAACAGGATAAGATCCCGGTCTGCACAGGCTGCACCATCACTGGAGACCACCCGGACACAGAGTCATCACAGTGGAAAAAGCGCAACAGACAAGACAGGTGAAGTGTAATGCTCCATTGCAATCCACATTGTTACAGGAGGTTGAGAGATTCACATCAGTTGGTCGTGACCCCTCACTTCGACCAGGTGAGCTCCTGTTGAGACCAAACGCCGGGGTGGCTCAGACGTCAGAACGCTGAGATGGTAACGCTGTAATGCTCAGTTGAAATCTTGTCGGCCGCCCATGGTTTAAACCGGATTCTCAAGTTTAGTGAGTTGATGGGCTAAGCCCAGTCAACATTTGATAGCACGTTAAATAATATTTTACGTGAGAATTCATTCAAATATTAGTTTGACTAAGTGAGAAACGTTGCTATGTATAGCAGGGGTGTGAGAAGCCGCTACACCCATCGCTGGTAGAGGTTAAAAACATTTTAGAATGTACGTGATATTTGTCAATGATGTTGTCTAACAGGATATTGCATTGCTCTGCAGTAGTTACGATTGATTCTTCATCTCAATGCATAACACGGACAGTGCAGTCGGATACAATCGTGGAAGAGGAAAAATATAAATAGAGACGTATGCAGAAATAAATGACAACAGATGTGTGTATGTGTGTTGAACTTCTTTCATAGCCAACCGTGCTAATCAGAGATGCGGGATGATCAATCAGTGATCCACCAATGGTGAGCACCGCGTATTTATTGATTTATCTACCACATGCAGGAGGAGCTCAGAGTCAAGAAGGAGGGGAGAGAGGAGAAGAGGAACACGGCGGCGTCACGGACACGGACACTCAGGGACGACTACCGACACGTGGAGGTACAGAGAGAGGCGGCAACCGCACAAATCCCTCTTCTGGTTTGCCTACGAATCGTATTTCATTAAACTTCGCTCTTATCATTGACGAGCACTGACACACACGTTGGCATGGGATATTGCTTCGGTGATTTCGAGCGAATCGTTTCCCAATTACAACTCGCTTGCTGCCTACTTTAAATCAACAAAATCAACGACATCAAACTGTAACGGAGCAAAGTGTGAGTTCGTAACTGTGTTTGTCTGTCAGCACTTTTTTTCAAGCCCATTTTTTGAGAGCATAAGCTTAATGAAACTTTAATCTTCAATTAAATGTATTGCTTTTGTGTATTTTTACACATCAAGAAAAAATGTGGGAAACATTACAACCAGTTTAGGACGGCCAGATTTGCAAAACACGTTTACTACGTGAATAGAAGGCCACCACGGTATGACACAGAAACTTCATTTATGACGCAACTTTCAACATGACAGCAGTTTTGGTTTGGGGGGGCAGAATCGATCCACGCTGGACGATGCGTTGGCGACTTGTCCTGTCGATTCCTTTATTGATCACAACCACGATGCTTGCTATGGAATGTTGCAATTCCTCCCTTCTGGCTTCCCCAAATCTGAACCACATCAACTTAGCCTGAGGGCCCGGGAGAGTGGACGTGAGTATTGCCTTCGAAATCAGCATTGTTTAACTCTTTCAGCACATTTTGTTAAAACAAGAGCAATGTGACGTTTATTTGTTCTGTATATTCGCAGAAACTTTGACACACTTTTCTGGGAATGTCCTCGGCAATAGAATTGTTTCGGTTTAATTCGCATTTTCTTCCCATGCACCGTTTGGTAGATCCAGAGTGGGATGGACAGATAGACAAATGTGAATAATATCCATGAAGATGTTTTTCATTTTCACCAGATAGACACTCAGCAACGTGTAGCTACAGACAGACGTATTTTCTGTAATCTCCTTGTCTAGGATATTATATATCCCATTCTCATTCTCCCTGTGCTTTATATGTTCACGAGCTCCCAATGCACACGTAGCTCACCTCCGTGTACTTAATCGAGATATGGTAACAATCATTACCTGTACGACACCACATTGCGTCGTTACCTAACAAGTGACTCAACAACTCGGCGCTGTCTGTGTAGGAGTCTGTGCGTGGGACCAAGGCGCGGATCAGCCGAGAGTTTGAGCGCCGGAGGAAGCAGCTGAGGGAGGAGGAGAGGGAGGCGCTGGAGCGCGTGGACGAGGAGGGCCGCTCCGTGCTGTCCCGCATCCAGGCGGACATCGCTCGCTACGAGAGCAGAGCACGCGGCCTGGAGCAGGAGATCAACCAGCTGCTCGCCGCCCTCGCCGTGCAGGACCCGCTCTCCTTCCTGCAGGTGGCACCACCTCCATTCACTCGCCCGGTGGCTAGGAGATGTTAACTACCTCGCCTGATATGCAGGTGGTCATGGGTTCGATACCAACACTGACTACTCTTAGGTTTTTCTCCGGTAAAGTCACGTAGGTAAAAAAAGAAATAATAATAATAATTAAATAATAATAATGCAAATAACTCAATTAAATCACGACGTTTCGGAGGCAACACAAGTCTCGTCTTCAGGTGGGACTTTACCGAAAAAACCTAAGAGTATGAATCCTTGCAGTCACGAAAGCTTCAAATCTAGAACCAACCCTGACATCTGCTGTATATTTGGAGTTTGCATCTCTCTCTCCTCGTGGATGTGTGGTCCTCCGGTTTTCCCTCTACATTTAGAATCAACATCACGTGTTTAGGGTAATTTGCTGCTATAAATTTCCACACGATACGCCACTTCTTAATTTTATTTCTGGCAAGGTTACTTCTGACGGATAGCTATATAGCTCAGTGGGCCTTACCTGGTAAGGTATAAAAAGTAGTTTAAAATAGTTTATACTCACAGCCTTGGTTTATCAGAGGGTTTATCTACAACCAGCAGAGCCGCACCGCCCTGTGAGACGTTGACATTGTTGGCAATCTTATTTCAGTGTTTTTCGATCTGGGAGCAAGCGGCGTTGTCCAGAAATAGACGCTCGTTTGCTTCCGTGTGACATTCAGACCTGGACTTGTCCAGTACAACATCGCCATCTACCTCGCCTGCTATGCAGGAGGTCGTGGGTTCGACCCTGACGATGTCTGCTGTAAATTTGTTGTCGACGTCTTTGTCTCTCTCTGTGATCGCGTAGATTTTTTTCCAGGTCCTCTGGTTTTTCGCTCCACATTTCGAATCAACATCACCCATTCAGAGTATTTGGCTGCTATTATAAATGTCCACATCAGCCAGTTCGTTAAGCTATCATTTGTGATAACCAGCTCGCTACTGAACAAGAGTTAAAAAACACGAGTTGTTGAACATTACTTAACTATGTGTTTAGCTGCTAGACTAGACCTGCAAAGAGTGGCTTTGTATTCTTAGGTGTTTTCGGTAAAGTCACGTAGGTAAAACATTAAAATTAATAAAAATAATAAAATATAATAAAGATCACGACGTTTCGGAGGCTTTGTATTTGTTGGGGTCCGTGTCCAGTTAAACGAATCCTGTTTTTGATGAAAAAATAATAAGAGGTAATCTATGTTTTGAATTAAAGCTTTCGTGACTGCAGGAATTAATATCCTATGGTTCTTTCGGTAATGTCACGTAGATAGAAAGAAAAGTAAAAATAAAAAACATTAACAAATTATAAAAAATAAAAATATCAAAAATATTAAAAAATATTAAAAACAAAAATCACGAAGTTTCGATTGAAACACAAGCATATGAATCCCTGCAGTCACGAAAGCTTTAAGTCAAAATTTATAAGAATAGGCATAACAGTACAAAGGCACAAAGATAACTCTGTTTTTCATCATTCTCTGTTTGCAGGTATTTATTAATTCCTTGATGTTGCGCTCCACTGTAAGCGGCAGGTGACTGTGTGGAGGTGGGCATCTGTTTATGATGTCAATGTTCATGTGAAATGCGGGTTTGTGTTTTCCAGGATCCCCTGCATGAGAGTCTCAGGTCAGTACCAACCCAGACTCACACTCGAGCTCCGTCTGCCACCTGGTGGACAAATCAGCGAACGGTCGAGATGTGATTCCTAATAAACCCAATTGTATGCAGTTGTATCCCGTATTGTTCGTATGTCAAGAGACATGGACCTGCATTAGACTCTGCGTGTCCCGTGCTGAGTGAGTGGAGGGACTGCACCTCCATAGACTCTGCGTGTCCCGTGCTGAGTGAGTGGAGGGACTGCACCTCCATAGACTCTGCGTGTCCCGTGCTGTGTTAGTGGAGGGACTGCACCTCCATAGACTCTGCGTGTCCCGTGCTGAGTGAGTGGAGGGACTGCACCTCCATAGACTCTGCGTGTCCCGTGCTGTGTGAGTGGAGGGACTGCACCTCCATAGACTCTGCGTGTCCCGTGCTGAGTGAGTGGAGGGACTGCACCTCCATAGACTCTGCGTGTCCCGTGCTGAGTGAGTGGAGGGACTGCACCTCCATAGACTCTGCGTGTCCCGTGCTGAGTGAGTGGAGGAACTGCACCTCCATAGACTCTGCGTGTCCCGTGCTGAGTGAGTGGAGGGACTGCACCCTCCATAGACTCTGCGTGTCCCGTGCTGAGTGAGTGGAGGGACTGCACCTCCATAGACTCTGCGTGTCCCGTGCTGTGTGAGTGGAGGGACTGCACCCTCCATAGACTCTGCGTGTCCCGTGCTGAGTGAGTGGAGGGACTGCACCTCCATAGACTCTGCGTGTCCCGTGCTGAGTGAGTGGAGGGACTGCACCTCCATAGACTCTGCGTGTCCCGTGCTGAGTGAGTGGAGGGACTGCACCTCCATAGACTCTGCGTGTCCCGTGCTGAGTGAGTGGAGGAACTGCACCTCCATAGACTCTGCGTGTCCCGTGCTGAGTGAGTGGAGGGGCTGCACCTCCATAGACTCTGCGTGTCCCGTGCTGAGTGAGTGGAGGGACTGCACCTCCATAGATTCTGCGTGTCCCGTGCTGTGTGAGTGGAGGGACTGCACCTCCATAGACTCTGCGTGTCCCGTGCTGAGTGAGTGGAGGGACTGCACCTCCATAGACTCTGCGTGTCCCGTGCTGAGTGAGTGGAGGGACTGCACCTCCATAGACTCTGCGTGTCCGTGCTGTGTGAGTGGAGGGACTGCACCTCCATAGACTCTGCGTGTCCCGTGCTGAGTGAGTGGAGGGACTGCACCTCCATAGACTCTGCGTGTCCCGTG